CTGCAGGAGAGGAAGATAAAGAAGGGCTATGAGGTCACGCTTCTGCTCATCACTCAAGACAGCCGTGAAAAGCGCTTTGGTGGAGGCCGCAAGGACAGGACGACAGCGGGAAAAGAGGCCTCGTTCCGTTTCCTCCTCCCACTTCCTTCTCTCTTTATTTCTTTCCTTCCATCTCTTCACACCTTTTCCCCTTTCACTTCTTTTTCTTCCTTCCTTTCTTTCTCTCCTCCGTCCTTTTCCTTCTTTTGCTCCTTCTCTCTTCACACCTTTTCCCCCTTTCTTTGTTTCCCTTRCTTCCTCTTCCTTCTCCCTTCCTTCCTCTTTCTTTCCTTCCCTCTCTTCACACCTTTTCCCCTTTTGTTTCCCTTTCTTCCTCTTCTTTCTCCCTTCCTTTCTCTTTCTTTCCTTCCCTCTCTTCACACCTTTTCCCCTTTCCTTTGCTTTCTTTGCTCTTCCTTCTCCTTTCCTTRCCTTCCATCTCTTCACACCGTTCCCCCTTTCTTTCCTTTCCTTTTTTTCTCTCCCTCCCCTTTTTCTTTCTCTCCTTCTCTCTCTTCACAGCTTTCCCTTTCTGTTCCTTCCTTCCTCTTTCTTTCTTTCTCTCTCTTCACATCTTTACCCCTTCCTTTTTRTTTCTCTTCTCCCTCTTTCACTTCTCCCTCTCTTCCTCCTTTTCTTTATTTCTTTCCTTCCCTCTCGTCACACCTTTTCCCCTTTCACTTCTTTTTCTTCCTTCCTTTCTTCCTTCCTCTCCCTCCTCCTTTTCTTTCTTTCGCTCCTCTCTCTTCACACCTTTCCCCTTTCCTTTGTTTCCCTTTCTTCCTCTTCRTTCTCCTTTCCTTTCTTTCACTTTCTTTCTTTCCCTCTCTTCACACCTTTTTCCCCTTTCCTTTGTTTTCCTTCCTCTTTCTCTTCCTTTCCTTCCGTCTCTTTACACCTTTCCCCCTTCCATTTCTTTTCCTTCCTTTTTTTCCTCTCCCTCCCTTTTCTTTCTCTCCTTCCCTCTCTTCACACCTTTCCCTTTCTTTTCCTTCCTCTTTCTCTTCCTTCCTTTCTCTTTCTTTCCTTCCCTCTCTTCACATCTTTTCCCTTTTCCTCTTTTTCTTCCTCCCTCCCTTCCTCCCTCTTGCTCCTTTCTTCCTTTCTCTTTCTTTCCTTCCCTCTCTTCACGCCCTTTCCCCTTTCTTTTCCTCTTTCTTTCTCTTCCTTCTCCCTTCCTTTTTTCCATCCCTCTCATCATACCTTTTCCTTTTCCCTTCCTTTTTCTTCCTTCCCTCCCTCTCCCTTCTTCTTTCCCTTCCCTTCTTTTTCTCTTTACTCCCTTCCCTCCCTTCCTAGGCATGTCCACCTTTCTTTCCCAGTGACATCACAGGGGGCCACTTCACCCAGGAACAGCCTGTGCATACAGACAGACCTACTGCTCCACAACTGCAGAAACCAAAGCAGATCAAAGGAACAGATGTGTTGTTGTGGCAGGAGAGGCAGCCCAGGGAGAGGATGGAGCCAGAATCGATCACCCAGGACATGGGTGCAGCCTTGTTTGCGCGCCTCCTTGGGTCCCCGGGAGGAAGAAAAGGTGGCATGGAAAAGTGCAAGGAATCAATAAGGCATGAGGCGCCCGGGGCTGCACATCATTCCGCTGCTGCTCCCGAAACGCTTCCTGGTCCAACGGCAGAGGTCTCCCGAGAGCCCGAGAGAGAGCCGGCCGCTCTGCACAGGAAGGCCTCCCTCCGCCTGCGATCGGCCACTCCCCTCCACGCCACTTTCCTCCTCCCTTTTATCATTGACCTGAGAGTCTCTCTCGGCATCAAAGCAAAAGCAAAGGAGACGTTTGAGAAATGTGCCTGGCAACAAAAACAAACCACAAATGCCATGAAATGTATGTGGGTTGCCATGCCTAAAACACCTAAAAGGCACCAGATCTCCAGTTAAGTCGGACTTGGATAGGAGACCACCAACAAAGATTGGGTGCTTTGTACGTTCATATGGAATCGCTATCCATTTCTGCTTGTCCCATTCGTATGGTCCCATTTCCGCCCACCGCTTCCGAAAACAGGCACTTATACGAACAAACTTTTCCACCCAAGGTACGAAAAAAACACGAAGATTTTCGGACCTTGGGCAGCAAAGTACTAGGGCCTACCTGGGCCTAAAGCTGAGTGTGCCGCATGCCCGGTACCCAGCTGTAGGCCCTGCCAGGTGGGCTCACGAACGTCAAGTGCTTGGCCGTATGCCTTGCCAGGCGGCCCTACGAGCCGGCAGGCCTGCCTAGGCTTAAAACTGAGCGTACCGAAAGCCCGGTACCGGCTGCAGGCCCTACCAGGTGGGCCTACAAACGCCAAGTGCTTGGCTGTAGGCCCTGCCAGGCAGACCTATGAGCTTCGAGTGCTCAGTGCTCGGCTGTAGGTCCTGCCAGGTCCTGCCTGCCAGCCAGGGCCTACATCCGAGCGGGCCCAGAGCCTGGGAATCGGCACTCAGCTTCAGGCACACCTAGCCAGGGCGTACATCGGAGTGGGCCAGGTGACCAGCACTCGGCTGCAGGCCCTGCCAGCCAAGGCCTACAGCCGGTACGCCCAAAACCAGCCGAACAAACGGGTACCGTTTCCCCTTTTTTCGTTTCATTGCTTCCGTTGCGGAGGGGGTTGTACCGCTTCGTGCCATCCAAATGGAGAGAACGGTACGAAAACACATACACACAAAACAGATGAAGGCAACTAACCGAAAGTCTGGAGACCATGAGTCCCTATGAGGAGCGTCTTAAAGAACTGGCCATGTTTAGCCTGCAGAAGAGAAGCTTGAGAGGAGATATGAGAGCCATGTGCAAGTATGTGAAAGGCTGTCATAAGGAAGAGGGAGACTAGGACTTGGAGCAATGGGTTCAAATTACAGGAAAGGAGATTCCACCTGAACATTAGAAAGAACTACTTGATTGTAAGAGCTGTTCAACAATGGAACTCTCTGCCTCAGGGTGTAGTGGAAGCTCTTTCCTTGGAAACCTTTAAACAGAGGATGGATGGTCATCTGTTGGGGGTGCTTTGATCGTGCTTTTCCTGCATGGCAGAATGGGGTTGGACTCCATGTCCCACGTGGTCTCTTCCAACTCTACTATTCCATGATTCCTTGTGAGTATTTCTTGTCTGAGAAAACCCTGCAAACCTCACGAGGAGGCCCCGGTGGCACCATGGATTAAACCCTCGTGCTGGCAGTTTGAATCTGGGGAGCAGGGTGAGCTCCCTCTGTCAGCTACAGCTTCTCATGCGAGGAAATGAGAGAAGCCTGCCACAGGGTGATAAAACATCTTGGTGTCTTCTGGGCAACGTCCTTGCAAACGGCCAATTCTTTCACACCAGAAGCAACTTGCAGTTTCTCGAATTGCTCCTGACACGCACACAAAACCTCACGGAGTCTACGTACGTCAACAGGTCGATTTGAAAGCACATATACACATATAGTACTACGGCGTAGCCCCTGTTGTATGCACAACAATAAACATACGACTTTTATGTGAAGAGATAAATGACACCATTCAAAATCTCCCTCCCCTTTTCTCTCTTTACGACTCCAGGACCACTTTCTGAACCTCTTTGGACCAACGGTTAATGGAATGGCCTCCCCAGCGGTTGATGGATGGGCGTCTTCGGGAAAGCGCCGAGGGTCCATTAGGGCCTCATTGATCCGGCTGGGAGGGAAGACTGCCAAGAATGATGGCTACGCAACAAGGCAACGGCCGGTCCCAAAGGAGGCGGGCACTCGGCACAAAGTGAGGGATACCGCCGGGCGTAGATGTGGATTGGAATGACAGGAGAGAGGGAAGGGGCCGAAGGGCCACCCAGTCCAAGCCCATTCCACCAGGCGGGAAAAGCACCACCAAAGCACCCCCCACACATGGTTTTTACGGAGTCTTCATAGAGTCACAGAAGGAGAAATAAAACTCACCGAATCATAGATTTCATAGAATAGTGAACCTCAACCTTCCTAACGCCGTGACCCCTTAATACACTTCCTCATGTGGTGGTGACCCCCAACCATAAAATTATGTTCGTTGCTACTTCACAACTGTACTTTTGCTACTGTTATGAATTATAATGTAAATATCTGATATGCAGGATGGATTTTCATTCACTGGACCACATTTGGCACGAATACCCAATACGCCCAAATCTGAACACTCGTGGAGGTTGATTTTGTCATTTGGGAGTTGTAGTTGCTGGGATTTATAGTTCACCTACAATCAAAGAGCATTCTGAACTTCACTAACGATGGAACTGAACCAAACATTTGGCACCAATACCCGATATGCCCAGATTTGAACACTGGTGGGGTTGATTTTGTCATTTGGGAGTTGTAGTTGCTGGGATTTATAGTTGACCTATAATCAAAGAACATTCTGTACTTCACTAACGATGGAACTGAACCAAACATTTGGCACCAATACCCGATATGCCCAAATTTGAACACTGGTGGGGTTGATTTTGTCATTTGGGAGTTGTAGTTGCTGGGATTTATAGTTGACCTACAATCAAAGAACATTCGGAACTTCACCAATTATGGAATTGAACCAGTCTTGGCACACAGAACTCCCACAACTAACAGAAAATACTGGAAGGGTTTGGTGGGCATTGACTTTGAGTTTGGAAATTGTAGTTCACCTACATCCAGAGAGCACTGTGGACTCAAACAATGATGGATCTGGAGCAAACTTGGTTCAGATACTCAATGTGCCAAAATGTGGAGTTTGGGGGGAAACAGAGTTTGACATTTGGGAGTTGTAGTTGCTGGGATTTATAGTTCACCTACAATCAAAGAGCATTCTGAACTCCACCAACGATAGAATTGGGCCAAACTTCCCATGGCTTGAAGGTGCTTGCTGGCGTGAGCGTCCCTCCAGATTCACTCGCTCTTTTTTGCCCACACATGTGCACCATGCTTCCATGTGCTGAGCATGCCTGCTCTCCTGTCCCCACTTGGAGTCTCAGAAAGAGCCCTCTCCTTGGCTGAGA